TCGCTCGCTCTCTCTCTCTCGAACGAGCAAAAAAAATGATATCATTGCTTCCGAAGTTATGGAATTTTTCAAAGAGAAAGTAAAATCAAAACATTTTACTTCGGTTTCTAAGCGAATGAAGCTTTTCATAAAAATAACAAAATCAATCCATTATATGTCTTGCCGATTTTTCCAATGAAAAACTGCTGCTGAACTACTTGAGACATACTAAAGATATTCAATCATTTTTTTTTTTTTTTTTTTTTTCATTTTAGTTTTCAATTTTGTTTTAAAAATTACAAAGCTTTTTTCAATTCAAAGAAAAAACCAGGAAAAAAATCAATAAAAAATTAAACCACTAAGACTGTGAAAACTATTTCAAAATAAATCGAAAAACTTTAAACTGTTAAAATTTAGATGGAAACAAAATTCTTCGATTAAAAACTAGCAGATTGCTTTTAAAAATTACTCCTGTCTGTTCTAGTTTTTTAAAAATATTATTACACTTGTTGCGGGCTGATCAAAAAGGGTGTCGGCTGTTTGTTAGAGATATTTCACGAAAAAGTGTCTGCTCTTAATTAGCCGCCTGTTGTTTTAGTTAGTCTTCACGCAATTAAATTATAGCTAGCTTTTTGCAACAAACAGAAAAGAACATACTTTTTCTATTTTTTCCGACCATTTTTTCCACTTAAATTTGCAGCAAAAATGAGAAGGACCCTAGTGATTTGAATTTTCTGATTAGTCATTAGAAAAAAACTCATTAAGGAAGGAAATTAGGATTTGCTTTTTTTTTCACAGATTATGATGAAGAAATTATCAAAAGGATTTTTCAATCAAATATTTCGATGAATTTGATTATTTGACTCCGATTGCTTATACCAATAGTAGACCGCTAAAAAAATTTGCTAATCAAAAACTTTTTTTTTCAGTTTTTGTGCCTTAAATCTTTTTTGTTTGTTTCATTAAAGAAACGCTAGTCATGAAATTTCCCTGCTTTTATGTTGTTGATAAAATTATTTTTCATTAACCAAAGCTGATTAACCTCCGTCCCAAATTAACCAAAATTGCAATCTTTCAACCCGCATAATTTTTGAAAATCAATCACAGGTGATATTCTTTTTCAAAATTCAGCTCATTTTTCAGCGTATTAATTTTAATTGTTGTTGTGACTATGTAATGGATTGGGCTTGGTTGATTGGTCATTTGTATAAGTTTTTGAAATGTGCGTCTTTTCTATTATCTGAGTTTTTTGTGTGCATAGAATGAGGGAAGATTTTTTGATGTTTTTCTTGTGATCTCTTTCCAAAGTTGTTTTTTTTTTGTAAAAATGTTGATTGCTCTAATGCCTTTTTGTTTTGCTTGGTCAAATTTTAACCATGATTCTTTTAACTGAAGTGGTGTTTTTGAATTTATATACTTTCAGCGAAAATGATAGAAAAGACTATGACCAATGTGAAGCAAACAATACAATATGATGAATTGTTGCTTTGCTTAAACAACTTGTAGGTCGGTGAACAGATAAACAATTTTCACGAGGTGTTACCTTCAAGAGTTAGGTTTTTGGAGGTTTTTTTTGAGAAAACTGGTTAAAATGAGAGAATGTTGGGCATTCGTGGCTACAAACACTAGAAATTGGTCAGTCATCAATTTGGTTCACCAATTATTGGTTGGAGAACAGATATACCTAGTTTTTTATACTGTGAAATACTGTCGAGAACTAGGTTTGAGAGAACAAAACTAACAAGACTGCTCGTATTTGGGTAAAACCATGAATGATCCGACTGCCTTTAAGGTCTATGGAGCAGGAAAAAATAAATGTAATAAAACAAGATGATTTTTTTAAATATAGGATTTTTAAAAAAAATCATTCCCCCACACGCCAGATAAAGTATAAAGTGATAGTGACAAATCATATAGGGCAATTAGGCTTCCTTCAGCCAATTTGGAACGATGTTTATGACGGAATAAATCTCAACTTACCCGTTAATAGCGCGAAATATATCGCGCGTTAGTTGTCCCGATTTGGCCATTTGGCAAATCTTTTAACCCCCTCAATTTGACATAAAAAGATCACAGCTGAAATAATTTTTCATATTTAAGCTCAAGACAACCCTGATTTTTGATCGATATACAAAAAGTTTCGTCAAAATGGCTAGTTAAAATGTCGAAACTTGTCCAAAGAAAAAAGTTACCTCGAGCTCAAACATTTCATTACTTTCAGTACGAAAACCGGATCAATAACGTTCCTAATACTTAACAAAGATCTAAGAAATAAAAATATAACCGGACTGCTTGTATCAGAGCAGACCATGATTTTTCAGCCCTATGTGAACAAACTCCCCCTGGTAAGAACAAGTCAACAGTATCGACAGCAAACTTTTTAAAGAATACTGCGTTAAAACATTTTCTTCTTTCGTCCAATACAATTTCAAATCCAGGTAAACTTATTTCAAAATCAAATGAAGCACAATCCCTAGTGTAATTAAGATATAACAAATACCCAAAGAATTAAATTGAAAAACACTGCTTTTATCAGAGTAAAGGTCGTAATGATCGAATACTTAATTTTCCGACTTTCGAAAAAAAGAAAATTTTTCGAGTTGTTTAAAAAAGTAGTTGTTTTTAACGAACACAATTTAATTTCTATTGAGGATATTGACTCCCTGATTAAAAGTGTAACAAGATACTTCACCTCCGACCGTTTTCTGCAAAGTTTAGGAAGGTTGAAAAAAAATCCAATATGGCCATGCTCTGGATTAATTGATTCGCACTTTGATAATTTCATCCATAAAACTGAAAATATAACACATATTTTTATGCGTAACAAATTATCTCGCACAAAAAAATTGTTCAAATTGATTTGAGCGTACGATTTGTGCGTAATTTTGTACAACTATTGTTTTCACACTAAATCTTCGATTTTGTCAAAAAAATTTACGTTTTCTGGTATTTTTAACTAAACACTAAAATGCAGTTGGACCATTCAGGGCTTTGGCCTGATATCCGAGAAGTCTTCTCTCAACTTTAGTTTACTGCTTTCGCTTCAATATGGCGAAATGTATTGCGCGTCAACCAATTTCTACATCAAAACAGACCTTCTGGTCAAATAACGCCCTCTTAATCTTCACACTGGACTGACATTTGAAGCAAAATTTTTGTATTTTGTCTGATTTTGAATCTGAAAAATTTTTTAAGACAACTATTTTCTCTGAACAACAATTGCAACTTTTATCTTTCAATTCTTGTGGTTTAAAACTTGCTTGTTTGTTATATTCATAAAAACACTTGTCGTACAATTTCCCTGCTATTTACTTTTTGATAACTTATTTTTTCATTAACCAAAACATATTTTATCATGACACATTATGGTTTAAAATTAATCAAAATAGTTGATGAGAGAGTTTTGAAAAAAGTAGGACTCTGGAACCAGTTCAAAACAAGTATTTATTAGGTCCTATTATATTCTTGATAACACTCTCTGTAAAATAATTAAATAATAAAGGGTAGAAAAAGATCTAGACTTTCCCTTTTAGTGTTTTCAGGTATCCGCATTGAACTGACTGAACCTAAAATTTTTCTAAGGGTTCAAATTTGCTTTCAAAACAAATTTATCAGCCTCGTCGAGTTTTCTCAGGTCGAAAAAAAACTCGGTTTCAACTGGTTGAAATTGATTTCGAATACCACCATAGGTTTCGTTAATGAGAAGATCTGGCCTGAAGTCAGCCAGTTGATGGCGCCTAAAAGCAGATTACTGTCGTATTCTACATTGTGAATCAGTGCAGCATTGTGCTTCTGAGCGCTGTTGCTTGGCTGATTTCTGACCCAGTTATCTCAAATATAATTCCGATGGTGGCCGAAAGAAACTATTTTTTGCATTCTCAAAAATCATATCTTTAAAAGTTAGTTACGTCTGTGTTGAATATTCTCTGTTCTCCCGCACGTGTAAATCTTTGTTTTCTTATACGAAATTAAAGTATGCTGATGACAGAACTTGTGTGTTCTCGCTAGAATTCATAGCGAGAGAAACCATGGTGGACACAAAAGAATTTTCCGGTGAACGAAAAACAGTGAAGGAAAAGTCGAAAACTGAAGGATCGAAACAAACTTCACAAGTTGTTCAGACATTTTTTTAAAAAATTCATCAAGGTTTTCATTTTGCGTATTTTATGACATTGAAATCTGCTTGTAAAAACCGAACTTTATTGCAGTTTTTCTATTAATTTTGACTTGTAATTTCCGATAGTTACGGTTAATTTACTTATGAGATGAAACGTCAACCAGCCAGCTGCCCAAAACAAATCTACCTCAGAACCGAAACGAGGCAGAAATATTGTGGATGATCTTAATGCGATGACAGAATTGGAGTATATTACTTTGAGAATGTGTCTCATCAGAAAAACAGGTTTTTTGGCGTTTGAAACAACTCCCCCCTAATGCTTTTGGCTCATCTAGGAGTAGGCTTAGGAAATTGCCGCTCTCTCAAGAATTGAGGAGATCCGCCTGCAGAAAATGAAGAGTCTGAGGTTCCAACCACTAAAACTCTCTAATTTTTCTCAGTTTTTCTTCTCTGTTCAGAGATTGCACGTCTTGTGATATAGACTCAAAGGTTCATTTGAGTTTTCAAAAAACGCTTGTCATACAATTTCCATATATGAAAAAATGCTTGTCGTTTAATTTCCATTTATGAAAATCGCTTCTCTTACAATTTCTATATAAGAAAAAATGTTTATTTTTCAAAATCCATATATGAAAAAAGCTTTTTCTAGAGTTTTATTGTAGTTTTCTGATTCTATGTGATTGTAGGAAATTGTAGCATAAGCATTTTTTCATAACTGGAAAATGTAAGACAAGCGTTTTTGTTGATCTCGAACTGTGGTCACTGAACATGTGGTTGGCAAATTTGGTACTTTCGTTTTGGACATCAGATGTAATCGATTTACCATGCTTTGTAGAACACAAACGAAAATCGTCATGTTGGTTAAGATTTTGAATATTTTCTTTCACACTTGTAATAAACTACTGTTGTTATAAGAATGTTGTGTCATTTATACACGTGTTTTTAGCACAAAACATCTAGTTTGAAAAGTTGATTTGAAATTAGTTTTCTTATATATTTACAGCGTTTATTTACTTTATATATTTACTGTGTACCTGGCAACTGAAACCAGAAAATCAACCTGAATCAATCGATTAGTAAAAACCGTTTGCGTGTTTTTTAGTTACCTTTTTTAGTTTGGTATTTTTTTAGTTTTTTTAGTTAATATATTCAGTAGGATTTGCTATAAAATATGGAGTGCCGGAGAACTCACTTGAGAGTCAGGAGATGCAGATTCTAAGCAGGACCTCCGTATTCCATTATTACCAAGCAAGTACACGTGCATCAATAACTCAGGTACTCAATTTGAAGTATGATCCCGTTAAAAACCTCGTTCAGAAGTATGGCCCCGTAAATCTACAACTGGTCCCATATAAATTTCAGACATAAAAGATTTTACAGGTAGTTTCTAAGTTTTGCCAGAAAATGAATTTTTTTGATAAATCCAGTTTCAAGAAAACGTTAGTGGCAAATCTAACGAACAATTGATAACAAGTTTTCTTTGTACTTTCATCCACTTGAAGTACTTCAAGTTTAATTCAAAAAAGGAGGGACCATCAATAATAAGATTTAGTAGCTAGATATTCCAGTTTTTCCGATTCGCCAGCGGGGCAATCAGAAGCGGATTTAGAAGGGGGGAAGGGGCGGACGCCCTACCTTCAGGGACTCGACCCCTGCCGACTCAAAAGCCCCACTTTGTACTTTTTTTCAGATATCCATTTTTGGCTGACTGACATTAAATTTTTTCTAAAGGCGCCTTCGGCGTCAATTTATTCTAATTTTAAAGGGGGAACGCGCGCCGAAACAACGCGGTTTTTTGGTCGAAATTTTTCCCAAAAGGGCCTAAAAACGTCTTTTTTGGCTTTTTTTTAAATTCGCATGCGGCGCAAAAATATTGGTCAAAATAGTGTCTTTATAGTGGTTGGGGAGTGTTCAGAAAATCTATTTGGTCGACCTAAAAAAAGGTCGACAAAACTTTCATTTTTTTTTCTGAAAATCCAAAACCCCCCCTCCCTGAGAAATTCCTAGTTTCGCGCCTGAGGGGCAATAATCACCTTATGTTTTAATCAGGCGTGATAGTGATGACAACTGATCGTGTCTTGATGAGTGAAAGCAGTTCTGTTAAAATGGTTCTGGAGATTGACATTGATTTGAGTGAATACGGCGAAGCAAATGTCAAGTCAACAGACAAACAAGGTGAATCAATATTGTCTTGCTGCCTTCCACCGTTTTTTTATTCCTTTTATTTAAACATTATATTCATTAAAATGTTAAATCTATGTGAAACTGGTTTATCTGGACTTCATTTAGGGCCCCGCACTGACAGAAATGGTTTCCGGTTGATTTAAATTGATTTTAAATCGACTTTAAATCGATCCAAATCGATTAACCATGTACATTTTACGAAGTTGAATGGATTTTAAATCGATTCAAATCGATCTTTTTGAACATTTTAAATCAATTTAAGTGTCTAAAAAATCGATTCAAATCGATTTCGAAGCATTCTCCGACTCACTAAAATCCATCCAAATCTCACTTAAATCCACCAGAATCTGATTTAAATCCATTTTAAATCGATTTAAATCGATCTTTCTGAAAATTTTAAATCGATTTAAGTGTCTAAAAAGTTATAAAGGGAAAACTTATAAAACGAATCAAGAAAAGGGTCAAAATAGATTAGTTTTTAAACTCAAAATATGCAAGAAAATCAGAGAATTTTTTTAATCGATATTTTGGTCTTTTTTCGGACTTTTTTATGCTACAATACGCTATGGATGTAAAAAGAAAAATGATAGGCAATGATTAAATGCAATCAATTTTCGAAACTGATAAATCTCAAATAAAAAAATCGATTTAAATCGATTTAGATCCGTTTTAATTCCCTTAAATTTAAAAAGAAAATCAGACTGGAAAAAAAGCAATTCAATTGATTTAAAATCGATTCGGATCATTTTTTTTAACTGGGATTTGAAATCAATTTAAATCGATTTTAAATCGATCCAAATCAATCTTCATCTTTTTTATTTTATCTTCGTACTAAAATCGATCTAAAATTAACCAACCTACTTTTTTCACACTGAAATCGATCTAAATTTAATCAACGTACTTTTTTCATACTAAAATCGATCCTAATCCATTTTTGTCAGTGCGGGTCAGCATCGATAAGAAAAAAGGATTTTGTGTATTGATGAGACAGTGCCGGCGCTTACATCTGTAGTTTTAGTTGCCTTCAAGCAAAACATATACAAAGGGCCACAACGTCACCTTCATTGCAATAATTTTGTTTAGAACTGATCAGACAGTTGGACAAACACAATGGCGAAATCGGACACAGTTCGATTTTTGACAACATTTTCCCAAAATTACTTCCAGTGTATACAACTGACGTCCACTACCGAAACAGTTTCATCCATCCGACACTCAGAAATTTCTGTCTGAGTTCACAGAAAAAACCGCCCCAAACATATTCCACAGCTCCAGAGGAACGATGGGCCATATTCCCGAATTGGGATGTTTGCTCTATCTTCAAACTCTTCGATCCAGCAGGTTAGTTAATGCTGCATCAACTAGCTGTTGAATAAATGCTCACGTTCGTTTCAAATACAAATTTTACTGGCCGCCAGTGAGTTGTAATGATTTCTGAAGGTTTTCGAGGCAAAAAAAAGTCAACATTTTATTATGCTTCGAATATAAAAAAAAACTTATCGGACAAATTCACCCAATGTTAAATAGAACAAAGTTGAAAACACTCGAACCACTTGATTAAATGATTCTTCATTATTTTAAAACATTGATGTAAACTGCTGGACATCAGAGTAAAATCATATAAGGAAATGTCCCAGGTTGACAAAAACGGTATTCATACATTTTTAATATATGAAAAAAAAGCATAACATACTCTTTCATACAATTTCATAGAGTAAAATTGTATGTATGAAAATAGCAAAATATGCATATTTTCCATATATGAAATGGTATGATAAGCATTTTTCCATGCTATGAAATTGTATGATAAGCATTTTTTCCATACTATAAAATTGTATGATAAGCATTTTTTTCCATACTATAAAATTGTTTGATAAGCATTTTTTCCATAAATGAAAATACCAAAAAAAATTTGTTTCGAAATTTTGAGTTTCAACCGAAACACTAACCAAGGACTTTTTGTAACTGGCAAATACCACGCAGATAAACTGCATTTGGTGATTTTAGCCATGAAAGTTAGTTTTTACTTTTTCACATGGAAATATAGACCAAAAAAGTAACTTTTTCAAAATGGCTAGATAATTTTTAGTTTGAAATTATGATGGTTGAGAAAAAAATCCTGTTTTCTTACAAATTTATTTTTATTTTAGCAAATGAAACAAAAGATATTAATCGTATCTACAAAAAACACTAACATAAATTTTGGAGTTTTTGGATGAGAAACTCATCCTGGACTACCTTATAAACACAAAGATAACAAATTTTGCAGGCAAATTTTTTTTTCGTAAAATTTATTTTTTAACAAAACAGTTTTAATTATGAAAAAAACATGATTTTCATACAATTTTCATTTATGAAAATTTTATGATAAGCATTTTTCTGACCGAAATTAAAATTATGTTTTTGATTGTCAAAATGCCCTCTATCATAGATATAATTATTTAAATCTAGTTAAAGTTACCCAGACACGTTTTTTGGTGATTTTTGAAAACTTTGTTTTTTTTCTATTACAAAATGACTACTTTATAATTTTCGTACATAATAATTGTATTATAAAAATTTTTTATAAAAAATTTCAAATCATTTTTAATGACCTGAAAGCTTCAAAACAGGCAATTAGACCAAAAATGTTAATTGAAAACTTTTAAAACATTTTTTAAATTTTGTATGAACTTTCTATGATAAGCATTTTTTCCCAAAGACTTCATACATGCAATTTCGAAAAACTTCATATAAGCAATTTTCTTCTATGTACATCAACCCGGGGTGCTTTCGACAATTCGAGTATGAGACGCATATATTTGGAACAAAAAACAACAAATATAGATTTTTGTGGGTTTTGTTATAAAATTTATCACACTTGCGATTAGCAAGCGTTATCAAACTGGAATAAAGACTTTTTTCTAGTTAACAACTTGTTTAACAGAATCACTAGAATCACTTGTGTCTTGATTCAAACTGAAAACCGCCTAAGGTTTCGGGCAATGTCTAATTTTTGAAATTACGCATTTTGTCCTGCATCAGAATAACAAAATCAAAAGATATCAACTTTTTACCTCCAGCTTTAGCTGAGACATAATTCTCCTTCATCGAGACATACGAAAACTTTCGCTCGCCTATTTTTTTCAGTATTTTCTATCTTTTTTGACTCATTTATTAAATGATTCAAATAAATTGCAAGTGGTGTAAAACTCCGCATCGCTTCTGTGTATAAATTGCAGCTACTTAATATTATTCAACCAATTTTCTGCAGCTTGAATTTTTACACAACATTTACATCCCGCATTCAAGTGTAGGCGTAAGTAATCGATTACAACGGATTCTTATGTTGTGATAATGTTTAGGTGCTCAAAGGATTTTTAATCGATTATGATCTTCGAACTTTCCTAGAGATTATATTCTCTTGTAATCGACTATACTTGATTACAATGGATTCAAGTTTGTACAGAAAATCTTCAAATAAATGATAAATGATTGTTTATTGAGAATTATTTCTTATTTTGCCCAAATCTTGTCACAAGCAAAGTATAATTTAATTACATCCTAGAGTTTTTTTCTTTTTCTGTTAATTACAAAATCTCTAATGGTGAGATACCTTGTCACACTTTAGTTTATCTGCACAAAAGTTTTACCACGAAACCAAAGTTTCAATAGGACCCGTTCATATTAGTTCTCGCGGTAGGCTCAAAAAGTTGTAATGATTTGTATAGCTAAGTCCAAATCATTCTGATGTTGTTTACAACAGACGTAAAAAAATTTTCAAAAAAATTATGTAGTTTGAAAAGTATCTTTTTGAATTGTATTGGGTTTTTAAGTTTTTTTAGGGTGATCAAAATTGAATACTGTCACAAAATTCTTGGCTTCCTCTTAGTGAAGCGTTTATGGGGTTCCATTCTCAAAACAGGCGTTCCCAATTATTCATTGGTAATTTTTTCGTCGCTATTTTGGTGCCCGGACAACGGAAGAGAATATGCGGTATTGCTAGGAATATATGCGGAATATCAGCCGGTAGAAATCATTTTGTTCAAAGGGTAACAACGCGGATTTCTGACAAATGTTCAAAAAAGGAAAAAACAAAAAATTACGTTTTCTCGCGATATTCTGTTAAGTTGCGATTTAGAATCGTAGATGTTATCTTGAAAAATAAATCTCTTTTTCAATAACGTTTCACATTACGAGGCCAAACTGTGCATTTTGTGCATTGTATGCGGAATCCGCAGCAAGGACGCTCCCTTTGTTCTTCTTTTATTTTCTTTCATTTTCTTCGATCGTTCTGACAAAATTTTATCATGTTTAAAAACTTGTCTATGGAATCTAGGAACATACAGACATAAAATTGTGCGACTATCCAGTGCACAGTTTGGCCTCGTAATGCAGGGAACTTTGAGCTGATTAGAGTTTCGTATAAACGTCATAATGCTATTTCATTGTAACGGCTAGTTTGTTGTTGTATTGCTGTTGAGTTAAAACAACGATGCATTATCGTGTCTCATTAGATTATTGAGGTACATTCTTAGCTCACTTTTGGGGTTGAAAACTAATGCATATAGTTCAGACTGTGATTTGTTGTTTATGCTTCTGTTAGTATCGTCTTATTCTCCTTCAAACTCCGGCATATACTGAAAGTTTCCAAAAATGTTTGAGCAAATATGTTTGCTTCCTTGTATTAGTGTCAGAAGCTGCTGTTTTCCTAAAATGAACAAGAACGATGACATCGCGTATCCTTGTCGGACTCCTTTTTCAATTTTGGTTGACCTTCCAAGGATGCTGTGTACTTCAATCAATGATGTTATTTTGAAGCAGGTTAGTCTTATTTATTGAAATGAACTGTTCTGGAACCTTGAGTTGATTGAGAATGTAAAAAAAATCCCGTTGATTATGTCCAATGCTTTGATAGAATCAATTGAAACTGCAGAGGAGCTCCTTTTGATCGATGGCAGTCGAAGTCGATCATTGAGTTTTGTGGTATGTATTTTTCGTTTCTGTAGATAAGTTTTCTGATGTCGTCCAGGTGTTCGAAATTTCCTTTGTATCAACTTCTAGTATGAATAAAGGAGTTTAAGTCCCCGGGTTGACTTATAAGTCCATTTATGTGTCATGTTTTCAAGCCTTTGTCTAAGTAGTTTAATATGTCGATCATAAGAATTTGGAGACAAGTAGCTATTACAGTTAGTCAAAGTAGTCGCCCAACTCAATATTAATATTAAGTCTTAAATAGCATTCGCCATGGTAGGTGGTGAGAAAAAAATGCCTTTTTCCGGGGTAAGACCCGTTGACCAATCGGCGTTTGGGGCTGTTGATATTTTCATAGTATGTACCGAAGTTAACTGCAGAGCGTTTTTCATCTTTGTTTCTTGTAGGTTTATGACAAAAGATGAAGATTTGTTAAGTTTTCTTGTTGTTGCAGTTAGGGTCAAAAACTTCGATACTGAAAATGTAAACCTTTATCACAATTCAAAAAAGAAGGATCATCCTCGTCATAAAAGATCAGAGGATTAACCTTCTCAGCTAGTAAACGTTTTTGTTGTTTTTGTTTTCTTGGTCTTGATTTGGTCCATATTGAGGGAGGATTAATTTTTTTTTTGATTTTTTGTTGGTTTGTTTTTCTTCTGAATTATTCAGGGCATTTTGCAGGATGTCGGGTATGTTTTGTGTTGAATTAGGGTTTATTCAGTAGTTTCCAACTTCTTTGTGCGTGATTGATCGCTTTTTTTACCATATTTTCGTATTCATTAAGCTTGTTTGGTTGAATATTCTCGCGGTATGAGGCTTTTCAGAAGTGGTGGTTCGGTCTAAATTTCTTACACGTCTGGTATGATTCAGTCGGTTTTCAGTTTCTTTTTCTTTTTGTCTTCTTGCTGATTGGTTTTGATCAATCGACACCAGATAGTATCATGGCCTTTCCACTGTTTCCCTTTTCCTTTGCATAGTCTACAGGAACAGAGCGAGAGAGCATGAAACACAATTTGAAAGCCATCCTAGTCAATTGCTACAGTCAATCGGGCATTTTTTACCAATCGCTAGGAGCTTCATTTTCTTTTTTTACTTTTTAATTTAACTTCAAGGGATGCAATTCCTATGTAGAAACTATCTTGGGAGGTTTTGTATGTTTCTCACTTTGTGGGTCCGATTGTCTCGATACATTTTGGTGGAGTTCAGATGCTGTTGAGGTTTGTATCGTTTTATGCCTTTTTGACATTTTTGGGGTAAAAGTCGTAACTGTTATACGTTTTTTTTTTCGAAGTGGTAAGGTTGTTTTTTTTGAACATTTCAACACCTCTTATCTTCATTCCGCCCAAGTAAGGTTTAGAGGTAACTGGCCCAACTATCAAGAAACCTTT